GCCATCACACAATGCTCCATGGTCAGAAGTAGACCCCACATTTGAGGTTTCATGATCTGTGGTCTTGGCATTGAAATTCTTATTAATCTTATCTTTGAGTTTGTGTTTTATAAGTGAAGTTAGAGAGACAATGGGGCATATGCTTGGTTCATATGTGTCCTGCAGACCTTCTGCCTCCTGAGGACAGATTCTTGGGTTTCCTGGGATGAGTCTTGACTACCACTACCCATCCACCAGCCCCATCTAATTTCTACTTCCTCACTCTCTCCCTAAGACTACTGGTGGGAGGAAAGAGGTCGATATTCCACTGTCACTCTCCATCCCTGGGGGAACCTTGGTGCAAGCAAGAAGTGTGAGGTTGTGTGTTGGTCCCATGATGTGTTGGTTCAGGGTAAATCAAGAGGTCTTCTCTGACGAGGCTGGTTGCACCTTAGCATGGTGCACAGGTGATTACGTATGGGTCTCTCACCCAGTATTATTGACTGAATCGTGTCTGCCAAAAAATGTGTGTATTGAATCCCTAATCCCCAGTGTGACTGTATTTGGAGGTAATGCTTTAAGGATATACATAACATTAAATCAGGTCATAACAGTGGGATCCTAATCCAATAGTAATGATGTCCTCATAAGAAGATAAACACAGAGCTGTCTCTTTCTCTGTGTATGCAGAGAAAGGTCATGTGAAGACAGGGAAAAGGTTCCCTCTGCAAGACGTAAGAGGCCTCACCAAATATCTTGATCTTGGACTTCCAAACTCATGAACTTTGAGAAAATAAATGTCTGCTGTTTAGGCCACCCAGTCTGCAGTGTCTTATTATGGCAGCCTGAACTAATATACCCACCTATTCAAACAAGTCTTAGCATGGAGGTTTCAATCCCTAGGGAATTACCTATTTGCTGAAGATTGAGACTGTGGGACACCTATACCCTGTAGATTGAGAAAGTGAATATTGATTTCCCCAACCCCAGCAAAGGCCTCCGCATTTACCCGATGCTGCAAATTGCATAGCTAGTCCTGCCTAGAGCACTACAACATTTACAGGTAAGATTGATGAGGAAGAGCTAGCAGGACACCAAGTAGTAACAGGAAGAGAGAAACGCAAAAAGCAAAGGGGATGTGATTATAGAAATCAATAGAGGGATGTGTTTTGTGAAAGTGGAAGTGGTCAACTGCACACAATGCTACGTTAACACCAGGACTTGCATGGATCATTGGATTTTATAACATGGAGTCCTTGAAGATTCGTAACAGAGTCATTGGTCAAGAGATGACAGGGGAAGATGACTGGAGTGCCTATATATAGCAATGAGTAGCCAGGAAATCAGGAAATGGAAGTTTCATTTAAGACACTTGTTAAGATTTGAGTTTTTAATCATACAGTCTATATTCAGATATTAACTCCCCTAGTTTTATAAACTATGTATGTTTGATGAAGTCACTTAACCTGTTTTCTAAGCCTGTTTTCTCATTGATGAGACAAATATCAAAAGAACTCTTCTCATAGAATAATTGATTTATTGTTAGTGAATTTCAAACCAAAGTCTTAAAATGTCTACTATGTGTCCAGCACCATACCATAACACAAGAAAACATAGTGAACAGGATAAATACAGTTTTTATTTTGATAGATTGTATGGTCTAACAGGCGTGCTTATAAACATTAAATGTGTATACTACATTGCCTCATTCATTAATTTAAAAATTCATTTAAAAATAGCACTTTCAAGTATTGAGTACTTTACCTAACTTACCTTCTGGTGGAGTAGGTCTAGGAAGTGTTTGTGGGTGATGTTAAAACAATATATACAATACCTTACATATGTAATATAAAATAATAACTATTTTATTATTTTAAAAAGTTAAAGGAGTTAAAAAATGTTATAGATATTGTTTTACTGTCTTACCCCACACACATTTCCTAGACCTACTCCACTAGAAGGTAAGTTACAGAAAGTATTCAATACTTAAAATGCTAATACTTTATAAAAAGAATTTTTACATCAGTGAATAAGGCAATATGATATATACATTTAATCTTCATAACCATTCTTATTAGACTGAAAGCTCTATCAAAACAAAAACTTGTTCACTATGTATTCTTGTGTTCTGCTATGATGCCTGACACATATTAGACATTTTAAAACTTTGGTTTGAAATGCAGCAACAATATATCAATTATTCTATGAGAGGAGTTCTTTTGATTATATAGTATGTTAGAAGGTGCTAAGTGCATGGATAAAGCAGAAATTAGCAGTGTACACTAAATGATTAATAACTTGTTCTCAACAGGGAGTCGGGAAGTGGGGAGAGATGATTCTGACTCATACCACAACCAATTGTTGTGGTGTGAATACTCTGACAATAGATCTTTGTCTAATGATGGGATATTGCTGAACATTCCAATATTGAGAAGGATTGCACATATTGAACTTTTGCTAGTTAGTGCTAGCCACCTATACAACAGTGCTAAAGTGGATGAGTAAGGCTGAATATGATGTTAAACAGCTGTTTAGTGTAGATCTCATTAAGATAGTGAAGATCTGAATTATCCATGGAGGTATCAGGGAAAGCAGTCTGCCCAGAAGAAATAATCAGTACAAGAACATGTTGTGCAAGAGTAACGTGAGTTCTGGAAAGTGCAAAGAGGCCAGTGAAGATACACGAGAGAGGGAAAAGGAAAGATCTTGATCTTTAACGAAATAAGATCCTAATCTTTAAGGAAATAATGCCTGCATCAGTCAGGATCTCAGCAGGAAATAGAGACCCAAACCGGTTATATTAAGACAATTTATTTAGAAAAATTTAATCAGGGTTTAGGGAAACCAACAAAAGACACCCTGTTGTCATCCACAACGTAGAAACAGGACTAGAACTCTCTATTTTAAACTAGAACCTACTTTTACAAAATGTTGAATGTTGTACTCTGCTAGACTAGTTATAAAAGCACAAAATACACTAATGATGAAGATGGAAAACTTGGGTTGCAGTCACAATAGTAGCATTAATTTGCCCTATAACCTGGGAAATGCCACTTACCTTCTCTGAGTCTCATTTTCCTTATTTGTGAAGTCGAAAGTATTGCTGTGTGATTTAAATGAAGCAATCCATGTGCCATATTTTCTTTAGAAGTTGTGTTTATAAAACGGTGACGAATTCTTATTTTTAAGATGGTATTACTGCAATGAAAATCACCTTTTCTGGCTAAAGAATCAGAGAAATTTTTATTTAAAAAAAAATCAACCACGAGTATTGTACTGCACACACACAAAAAAAAAAAACCATTAATGATAGGACATTTTATGAACAAAAAGCACAAAGTGAAATTATGTCTAGTCCTTGGCATTCTGAATATAATATAAATTAATGTTTGAAAGCTACTGTTGATTGAGTGTTTTCTGTTGATGGTGCCATGCGCTATGGGCTTTATATACAGATAAATGACTATTGTTAGCAATCCCAGTCTCAGCACAGTGCTTAACATATAATAGGTGTTTAATATTTTGTTTTCAATAACTATGTGAAGTAGTTATTATTATCTTCGTTTGATAGATGAGACCTACACAGTTTAAGTCATTTTCTTAAGTGGTAGATGCAACACTAGAATCCTGTTCTAGGTTGTAACTTTTATGGCTTATTTTGCAACCTTCAAAAATCTAATTTGTTCAACAATTCATTTTAAAATACAGTCATATGACAGACAATGGCATTTCAGTCAAGGACGGACCACACATTTGACAGTGGTCCCACACTATAATGGAGCTGAAAAATTCCTGCCACCCAGTGACATCATAGCAGTCATAATGTTATATACAAAGCATTACTTATGTCTTCATGATGATGCTGGTTTAAGCAAACCTACTGAAATGCCAGCTGTATAAAAGTCTAATACATAAAATTATGTATATGACATAATGCTTGATAATAACAACTGTTAATGGTTTATGAATTGACTATTTCTTTATCACTATTTTCAAATGCGCTTCTTCCACTTATAAAAAAAAGTAAGTAAACTGTAGAACAGCCTCAGATAGGCTCTTCAGGAGGTGTTCCAGAAAAAGGCACTGTTATCATAGAGATAACAGCTCCATGTGTGCTACCGCCCCTGAAGATTTTCCACTGGGACAAGATGTGGAGGTGGAAGACAATGATATTGACAGTCTTGATTCTGTGTAGGCCTATGCCAATATGTACGCTTGTGTCTTCGTTTTTAATGAAACATAAAATTTCAGTGATGTTTATTATAAGTAAAAAATTAAATAGCATAAAGCTTATAGACTAAAGATATAATAAGTATTTCCTACAGGTGTACAAGGTATTTGTGTTTTAAGCTAAATGTTATTACTAAAGGAGTCAAAAAGTTTTAAAAAATTTAAAAATTTAAAAAGTTACAGGAAGCTAAGGTTAATTTACCATTAAAAATATTTTTACAAGTTTAATGTAGCATATATATATATATATATATATAGCGTTTATAAAGTCTATAGTAGGTAATATCTTAGGCCTTTTCATTTACTCACTACATCCTAAGTGACTTACCCAAAGCAACTTCTAGTCCTGCAATCTCCATTTATGGTAAGTGTTCTGTATATACAAGTATGCCATTAAAAAAATGTATACTGTATTTTTTACTGTGCTTTTTATATGTATAGATAGGTTTAGATGAACAAATACTTGCGATTATCTTACAATTGCCTATAGTATTCATGTGCTGGACAGGTTTGTAGCCTAGGGGCAATAGTTTTACCATACAGCCAAGATATGCAGTAGGCTATACCATCTAGGTTTGTGCAAGTACACTGACTATGGTGTTCACACAATGAAAAAATCAGCTAATGATGCATTTCTCAGAACATATTCCTGTCATTAAGGACACATGATTACATTCATCTCCTAATAATGAGAAGTCTAACAATAGTAATCTAGAATTCCAACATTTCTATCTTCTCCTACTGACTCAGGGGTGGTGACGATTTCTTTAACATGAGGGTGTTTTATACAGATTATCTGTAGCCGATTGGAGGAGTACAACAGCCATCAGACTTTATGCAATGGAACGTCCGAGGGACCTTTACAGCGCAATCCTGGAAACCATGACAAATCCAGGACCCCAAGGCTCCCCTCTTCAGCTGATGTAGAATTTTGCCTGAGTTTGACCCAATATGAATCTGGTTCCATGGATAAATCTGCCAATTTCAGCTTTAGAAATACACTGGAAGGTAATCTCTTTCTTTTCACTCACTTTTAATTTTTTTTTCAAAATTCATATTTACAATCTCTTATCCAAAGTCCTATGAGGTGTTGGAGAGCTTACAATTTTCTGAGTTGACAAAGAATATGTGTTGTATATACCTATTATTAACAATGACCCTAGTTGACACTGGTCAGCATGTTATAATCCAGCATGTCAGCTTCAGGAGCCAGGCATGGTGGCTCATGCATGTAATCCCAGTTTACTAGAGAGGCTGTGACAGGTTGATTACTTGAACTCAGGAGTTTCAGGCTGCAGTGAGCTATAACTGCGTTACTGCATTCAAGCCTGAATAACAGAGCGAGAGATTCTGTCAAAGACTAAGATGAAGAAGAGGAGGAGGAGGAGGAAGAGGAGGAGGAGGAGGAGGAAGAGGAGGAGGAGGAGGAAAGGGGCAGCGTCGGCGTCGAGGGGTGGTTGAGAGGAAGGGCAGGAACAAGAACCTTTAATGAAATATATGAATACATTCATCATGAGAATAAATACAGGCAATCGGCAACCTAATGCTGAATAATCAGGTTTTTCCATTAAAAGATAAAAACAAAATAATTTCGTTTTCAGAACATTTTGTATTGTAAAATTTTGGATATAAGACTATGGGCTGATAGTATTTTCCTAAATTTTAGTATTTTAGTTTTCTCCTGTTTAAAATATTCTCAGCAGTGGCTCTTTGAGGTAAGTTCATTCATTTACTGTGGCAAGGACACAGCTCCCAGGCCAAGCCTCCATTTTAGTATCTCTCAAGTTTTCTGTCCTTCATCAGAAATTACATCTCATGATCTTTTCTAACTCCTAAATATTTCTCCTACAAATGCCTTCATCTTGCTTGCATTCTGCATTCAACATCCATTCATTCTTTCTGTTAATAGCTGACCCAGAAACCCATTCCATTCACAAAAATTTGCATTAGGTAAATTAAGTCACAAACACAACAAACAAAAACAGTCATTCAAGTCACAAATTTAACAGAAGTTTGGGAAAGACATAAGCACTAACTGTGGCAAGGCAGACAACTCAAAATTTGACACTAGACATCCCACCTCCTTAAAGGCCTGTGACACCTTACCATGTAGAAAACCTTTCCTCTCTTTCGTAATCCTTTCTTCTTAACTTTTTCTTTTTTCATTGTTTAACACCCTAACTTTTGTGACTGTACTGTACAGAGCGGTTTTACTTTCATTCATTTTCCTATTTTATTCAAAATTATAATCTCAGGTTCTTACACCAAGAATCCACTTAAGCAAGGAGAGTCTCATCCTAAAGGTGAAATCTGTTTGCCAGCATGAAAACAGAAATTATGTTTATTCTTCTGTAGTAACATTCATGATTAACTTTTTAAAATAATCATATTTCAAGACACTGTGTCAAACATTTTATATGGCATTATCTCACTCAATTCTTATAATCATCCCCTGAGGAAGACTGCATTTATTATTCCCACTTTTAAGAGAAGAAACAGATCTTTTGGTTATTGCTTCTCAATAAATAAGCGGCAGAGATAATCTGCACTCAGCTTTATCCAGTACCAAAGTCCAAGTTCTTTCCATTGCACTCTGGTAATCAACAATAGATTGAAAGTTTCTTTAAAGTGGATAATATCAGTTTGGTCTTTTGAGCTATGAAGGCATGACATGGTGCCAGGAAATCTCAGAGCCTATCTAGTGAGTCTAAGGTACACAATTTGAAAGTTGTCATCTGGGAGGATTGGCTGTCCCATTGGACTCTTCAGAGATTAACAACATTACCCCAAATGCTGATATTAATGACATTGCAAAGCAAAGCTACATCTTTAAGGGAATTGGAATATTTTGCTGTTTTTTTCAGGCAAAGTTTTCAGCCATGAGTGACAAAACATGTGTTTTATTATTAAGAAACAAGGACTGGTCACAGAAATAAGGCACAGGAATGTTGCTTATCTAGGGCCTTAAGTCAAAGAAAAAAAGTAGCTCAATATGTGTCAGCTCAGTCAGTGGTTTTCAAGTGAGAGTCTAATACACAAAGGTAAGGAGGGAGCAGCAGATTGGCTGCAGATAAGTGGCTACTGCAAATAACTTATGTGTGTGAATTTTTTTTCCCATAATTTCTTCTCATTCATACATAATTTAATAGACAAAATGTGTGAGAAGCAAAGAGATGTAACATAGCATATTGTCTGGCACATAGTAGGTATTCAATAAATATCTAATAACTGAATAATAGCTAGAAACTTTCCAATTGTACCTAACCCACAACTTACTTTATCCATGCCTGTTGTATAAAGTCCATGTCATTAGAGAAAATGTTGGAAATCATTATTCTGAGCTACTAAGAAGAACTTTTCTTTATCAGGTGTACATTTTTAAATTACTTTTCCTTAGATTTTTATTTGGCAATAATTTTAAGCTTACAGAAATGCTGTGAAAATAAAAGCATAACAAAAAACCATGAATATATCTTTTACCCTAATTCACTTGCTATGTACATCTTATCCTGTTTCTCTCTCCTTCTCCCAGTCTGAGCCATTTTGAGGGTAAATTGCATAGACTGTAACTCTTTACTCCCATATATTTTAGTGTGTATTTCCTAAGAAGAATAGACTCATAGCCACAGAATAGTTTTCAACATCAGTAAACTCTATATTGATATGATGCCTTTATCAAATCTACTGTATATATTTCAGTTTTTAAAAACAGATATAATATCCTTTTCAGCATTTTTCCTCTCCAAAATAGAATCCAGTCTAGGGTCAAATAGCAGTTAGTTTTCACGGCTCTTTAGACTTTTTTAGTCTAAAATGTTTCCATATCCTTGTACATATGTGTCTTTATGTGATTGACTGCTCTGGAGGATATAGTTCCTCCTCCTCCCTCCTCTACCTTTCTTTTAATACAATGTTCTTAATTTTGAGTGTGTCTAATATTTCCTCATGACTGGATCCAGGTAATGCACTTTAGCCAGAATTCTACGTAGGTGATTGTGCATCTTTCTGAGACAGTGTCACATCTGGAGGCACATGATAACCATCTGTCTTGTTGGTAATGTTAATTTTGGTCACCTACTCCAGATGTGGTCCAATTTTCCCACTGTATAATTACTTTTTTCCCATTTAACTAATAAACTGTCTATATGGAGACATTTTTAAGGCTATGTAAATAGCCTGCCTCTTAACCCAATTTCTCCTGCAGTTAGCATCCACTGATGGTTACAAATTTCTGATTTTTCAACTTCAGCACTTCTTTTAAATTTATTAGCCAATATTCAGAATTCTATTAGCAAGAATCCGCCATTCTGTCTATTTATCTATCTACCTATCTATTAATGGTATGGAGTAAAGGCTTTCCATTGTTTAATGGTATGTAACTCATTGATGTACTTAATTATCTTTGCGTGTCAGTGGTTCCAGAACTTGCTCATGGCATACCTTCAAGCTGGTTCTATGTTTCCATTTCATATACACCTTTTTAAAACATTCTCTCTGGTAAGCAAATTATTCTAGAGCATCTTTCAGCTCTAGGCCTGAAATTAGTCATGACTTCAAGGAATAATGTTTTCTTTCACTGGCTAGGAAATTCAAGGTCAAGATCTGGAAGAAACTTTTGCTCTCCAGAGACACACATTTTATCTCACAACGTCAATAGGGAAGGAATGTGGGGTGTCTTGGCCTACAAGGAGTGCTCAAGTATAGCAGTGAGGAGAGTAGGACTTGAGAAAAGAGCAAATGTCACCATTATGCTCTGCTCTTTCAATACATGCATATGAAATGGAATTGTTGCTCTTGATTAAACCTCAAAGTTATTGCTTTCTTTTTTTTCTTGGTCTTGTGAGAGGTGTGTAATGCACTTCCCACGGAACAAAATATTCACAGTCATTCCTAGGACAAAGTAAGTGTTCTGATTTAGTCTACTGAAGTGAAGATGTGCAATTTGTGAACTATGTAAGAGAGGCCTCATGGCTGGGTGCAAAGGCTCACGCCTATAATCCCTGCACTTTTGAAGGTCAAGGCAGGTGGATCACTTGAAGTCGGGAGCTTGAGACCCGCCTGGTCAACATGGAGAAACCCCATCTCCACTAAAAACACAAAAATTAGCCAGGCATGTGGCACATGTCTGTCATGCCAGCTACTCTGGATGCTGAGGCAGGAGGATTGGTTGAACATAGGAGGTAGAGGTTTCAGTAAGCTGAGATCATACCACTGCAGCACTCCAGCCTGAGCAAGGCTCTCTCAAAAAAAAAAAAAGAGAGAGACTTCATGTTCCTAGATAAAGCAAAATAAAATAAATAAATAAATAAATATGTCTGTATTATAAGCAGCTGTCTTCTGATTAGGTTAAATAGGGGCCCCCATGCAGTCAGTTATCACATTCAAACAGGAATTTTATCTCATGAAAATCTGTGACTACCCATCCATTGTGTCTTGTATTTCACAGTTTACAAAAGTTGTTTTGTTTTTTTCGTTTGTTTTGTTTTCTAATAGCACTGTTGGGGAGTGGGACATGGGGCCTAGAAATTCAATGAATTGTTTAAAGGCAACCAAACTGACTAGTATTAGATTCTAGCTCAACCACTTCCTAGAAATGTGACCTTGAGTACATGATTTAACTTTTCCTGTGCTTATCTATAAAATGTGGGTAATAATAATGTATAAGGTTCAAAAAATTAAATGATATAATACATGTAAAGTACTTACAACATTTTTTCAACAAAGGTCAGCCAGTATTGTGTTAAGCTGTGGTTAGTTACTGACAACTTAGCAACCATTAACTTCTCTGGCAATTAGCTTACAAAGTAAGTAAACAGTGAGCTCTGAGAAAATATTATAATGACCTACATTTAGTGGAAAACAAGGGAAAGAGGGGGATGGAAAGGAAAATTCATGAAGACAAACCCAAAAATAAATGTTTCTGGAGACAGATAGGATTTCAGGGCAAGTTTCAAAAATGAGATAACAGCAGGAGCAAATATATCTTCTGGTACCCAAAAGGGAAGAAG